ATGATACTTGATAAGCACAAAATAAATTCATTTGCAACAATCGGCATTTTCCACCACTTTGAAAAGCGTGACCTGTCAAAATTTTCCGCTGGTACATAAGTTTGTTCGACTCCTTCACAGACCCCTGGTCTTGGTCCATCAGGGGCGGACTGGAATGGTATTCCTTACCGGGAAATCAACCTTTAGGGGTCTAAAAAGTTTCCTTATTTCGCATTTGGTTATATTTACAATTGGAGTGCTGCAGTAAAGTAAACATTGATTGTAAGAATGCATCTAAATTTCATTACATGTATTTTTCTTAAAAGAAACTAAGGTCCGGTGCTGGTAGGCACTTTCTTAAATTTTCCAGCCATTTTGCTATCAATAGTTTCTCACATGTTTCTTAAATTTTTTAGGTAATGAATTTTTTAAACGTGCTCCTAAGGTAGAGTAAATATTTCACTCACATTCAGAGATAAACTAACAAAATGATCAAGGAAATTTGTTTTCCTAGAATGACAAACTCTGTTGAGATCTGTAAACAGTCAAGCTCATCGAACTTCAAAATGTCAAGTTGAAGTCAAAACAAATTGTAAACGGAAACTTCTTGAGTGTGTAATTTACTGCGAATTAATGCAAAATGCATGTCAAGTATAGTGTTGCAATATACAGTGAAGTTTAATGTCAACATCAACAACATTTATTTCCAACGTCGATTGAATGATGAATCAAGGAAGATTCCAGGCAATATTTATGAACTTGTTATTATAATAATACTACATTGTTTTGGCTTGAATTTGACAGACGTTTGATGGCTCTTGCAAAGTTATTGAATAGACTTTAAAGCACAAGAAATTGAGCAAACTGTTGCAAGAAATGTGAACATAAAGAAAGATTAAGAAGCTTTGTAAAGTTGGTACTTTCTTTTGCAAAATCAAATCATAAAAAGTTTCCATAGACCAACCTTATTGAAGAAAGCTAGCCATCCCATTCGACCCTTCTCTTCTATAACAAAGCCCAACCCTCTTCGCTCGTATATTATTCCTGGGTGCATTCCATGTAGTTTACGCCGGAGATCTCCGGCGTGGACTTAGCTTTTTCCTCGACGTAATGGCGTGAAATTTGCTATTTGCGAGCCTTGGCGCATTGGCGTACGTGATAAATTTTCGCGATCGGCGTAGCAAAAACGGTACTTGTACAGAATACGTGGACAGCCTGATTATGTTGATATGGACAGTAAAAGCAATGCAAACTATAGATTAATCGAAAGCTTGTATGTTTTGCTCTTGGCGTAGCAACTACAATAGGTTGAAATTTCTCTGGCGTGGGTCTAACATGGAATGCACCCTGGATATTATTCAGGGACCCCACGTCTCCTCTTCTCCCAACTCCTCGAACGAATCCCTTCCAAAGCAACGCCCAGCTCTGCCCGAGTTCTCTTATCATATCTTGATGGTATAGATACTTATACTGGGTACCAAGGGTACAAGGTCTTATATAGTTTGACCAATTTGGTCCGATAAACTTATTGGATGATATATTCGAGCATGGGCCCGCTGACACTTGAATTCGTAAGTGTAAACTGAATCTTGTGCTTTGATTAGAGAGAAAAAAGTAGGAAAATGTGCACTGAAATACTATTGAAGATCTAAGAGACCAATATTACGATCACTGTATGTGTTTTCTACTGCAAGTGAAGCGAATATCTTGAAACTGAAACTACAATCCCGGACAAAAATGTTGAGTCTATCTATTGAGAGAGCTCCTCCTTTAAGAAATTTCTGGATGCAAATCTTCTTCGTTTTTATAAAATCATATATATTTTTGTTTGTTCTCTATTTCTCTCATTATATATAATTCACTTCATCTTTTGTAACCTGTTGCTGTATTTTAAAAGATTTGTATGTATGTATTTTTAAAATGAAATGAACTGAACTGAATTAACGCCACTTTGCCCTTCTAAATTCGAATCCCTCCCTTTCCCCCGAAGCAATGTTGGATTAGTATGTAGTTCTATCATTTTTGCTACCAAATCATGCATTCAACATTGAATTGGGGGAGGGGGGAAGTAATTTTTCAAGAACATAAAGTCTTCCTAAAAAGTCTCAACTATTTTTATCCGGGATTGTAGATCACGAAACACGATGAAACGGAACAGTCGACAATCCACTCGAAAGAAAACGAATTCGACCATTTCACGACGCACGACGCACAACCCACCCTCCCAAACCCTTCATATCAACGACGGCCGAAAAGGTTTGAGTTTGATATCAAGCAATGTTTTCTTAACTTTGTGGATTTTCTAGAAGGACAATATTTCTGATAAAAAGTGGAAAACAGCACGTATGTGTGCAGTCCTATCCCCTTTGCGTGAAAACAAATATGTACTCAATTTTGATCACAATGAGAATTGTGGCGTCAACTTTTGCAAATTCGGGCGTGAACTTGTGCAAACTCGGGCGTGAACCTTCGAAATACATTTTCATGGGAATTTACTTGACAACTTCTCTAGAGAGTCCAGCCGAAAGAGAGAGAGAGTACCCTGTTCACCAAGTTCAAGACAAGCTCAAAACAACACAAAAACTGGCACGAGAACGGCAAAATACCTGGAAAAAATAGTCATTAGCGCAGCCAAACACAATGAGTTCCCATTTCAAAATTAGTATGGTTCTTCTTCGCAGTTAAAGAGTTTGACTCCACTACATATATTTTTATGCTCATTCCTCGTATTTAAACGAATAATCGACGTTGAGGTTGTCTTCCACTTTCACTCGGACCGTTGAAAAACTTTGATTTTCTTGAAGTCATACTCAAAATAACTTTCTGAATTACCAACTTTTTCTTACCCTTAAATACAGCAGAGAAGTACTTCCACGATGCAAGTTTCATAATCAGGGACGGCCCAACAACTCCATCTCGGCGCCGATAATTCTAGCTACAGAGGCTCCATTGCAACATCAATTCTCCTGCTTGTCATTTATGTTGTCTTTCCAGAGAGCGTTTGCAACAGCATCATTAATAACCTTCCTGATTGTATCCCCATGATGACAGGAGCTTGACTTGCAGGTTTAAATGGCATCAGGAATTCAAGGTGTGGTGGGCCTACTTCGCCACGTGGCAGACGATTTAACTTGTTAACGCAATACTGAAAACGCAAAAGCTTACTGAAACTTGATAAACACACAGTATGTGCACCTTGGTTCTGTTTTCGTATATCTTCAATTCATAACGTAGCCCGTAAAATGCAAAACACATTGTACTAAAAGCAAGACCGTTCTCATCGACCCTAATCGCATGACTTCTCACTTCACTGAGGTACTCGGGCACCGCGGAGCAGGGAGGGCTGGGGGGGGGTTTAGCCAAATATTAAGATGCCAAATAATAAAAATGCCAAATATTAAGTATCAAACTACCAGAAAAGCCTCTTTTTATACGGTTTTAGCCCCCCCCCACTTTCTTTAGACCAGCCCACTTTTCTCAACGCTCCGCGGTGCCTGGTACTTTAGAATGATGTGGCATGGCAAAGTGATGTTTGAAGGTGGGGGAGACAAAGAATGGTAATGTAGACTGATGGGTATGACCCCCTTCCCCTGTTAATCACGGACCTATAATTTTGATTAATTTTCATTCTTTCGCTTTCCTTTACCCTTGAGCTTCTTGTCAAAATACTTGTCGAAATAAGGTCCCTTTTCTCAGTTTTCGAGAATTAAGAAACTGGTCGATGCAGTGAAAAGCTTTACAAGTATGTCTCAGCTCTTACCTTACCTTGTGCATCAACATAAGAACTTTCTCTTAGTTTTCGACAGAAGAGAAAGAGAGAGTCAAAAAACGACAGGATTTCTGGATGAATTTGATAAGGCAAATGTTTACCATGTACATCACAATACCTAAACTGTTATAAATTTGTTTATTATAAATACTCACCGAGGATAAAGTAATATGTTTCTCACTTTACATTGAAAATCTATTTAGGTATTTCTTTATGAATATCTTTGAGGTCTAGAGTTGTTGAAGACACCGGCACGGTCCAGGGGCATGGCTATTAGCTTCATGATAAGGAAAAAATTTGCAACAGTGATTTGCAGCTTCTTCTGCTATGTAAATGATATTTCCATTCCGATAAGCGTATGAACGGTTCACTTCTAGCAGATACGAAATAATCACGCAAGTTTTTGTAAAAGTTGCTACAGTCGGAAACTCATATATATGTTCTTGATAATTGCGAAAACAAATGACAAGGGTACTTTTACCCTCCTATCAAAGGGGTTGCATCTTCGTCCCCTTTACCGTGTCTGTAAGTATCGTTCGGATTAAGTGAACAGCGCCTGAATAGGGTACCAAGTTTTTAAATAGTTAACACATAAGACAGTAAACACACCAGTTTCAAACCAAGTAGCTGATCTTTCTGAGTGTGTTACAAAGTTATTGAAAGGACGGGAATAAAATTTATAATGTTGGTAGTAACACCTATTATTTTTGTGCTTTAAGGCAAGATAACAGTGGCAATAAAACTGTTGAAATATGTACCAAACTAGCAAACATGATTCGGGTCGATAGAATGGTGAACAGGGCGGGAAAGGGTGCGACAGGAGGTGGAATGAAAATTCTCCGACGTCGTTAAGTACAACAATTGCCGTTCTGTGTTAAGTACAATATGTTCTTTTAGAGTTTGTCAGGAGTCACAGTGTCCCTTTCCACCACCTTAAGTGTCAAATAGATTTGAATAATAAAGAGTTGAAAACTGGGGCAGTGGTTTTTCCATACTTATCAACTAGAAACGTAGCATGCTCTGGTACAGCACTATTTTACAACGAGGGTTCCTTCATTTACATATCTTTTGACGCTGTTAACTGCAAGAACTAATTGCAACGTAACTTTGACTAAACATTTCGTTTTAGAAAAAGTGAATTTGTATATAAGAACAGTAAGATAAAACTTTATTTGATTCAGTCGGCAGTTTATAACAAGTGCTTAAAATGAAACTGAAGATAAGTAATTCAATAAATCTTAAGAAGGGTTGAAGGGGGATATGAAGAGATTTTTGTCAGTAGACAGTCATATGGCTACCCTGGGCGACAGAGTCTCCATTATTTAGTCTCAGAAATATACAGTATTCTCTTTATTTAGCGGACGCTGTCGGGACCAGAGCAAGGTGTCCGCTAATTGGAAATGTCCGCCTTTTGGAAAGTTTTGCAATATAAGTTTCAAAGTTGAAAATAGACCCTAGTTTTGTATTTAAAAGGTGTAATCAGTGGTGGCGCCAGGGGAGGGCTAGAGGGGCTATAGCCCCTCCGTTGGAAGCACTTAGCCCCCCCCATCGGAGGCAATTTTAGGTTATTGTCGGAGCAAATTTGACAAAATAACGTACGAAAAACTGCATATTTTAGTCATTTTAGCCCCCCTGTCGGAAGCTCCAAGCCCTCTGTCGGAATACTTGAAAAAATATTCATTTGTCTTATTTTTTTGTTCGCTGGCTCCTAAATGTTTTGTACTGTCTGCTAATTGGAAAGAAAAAAAGCCAAATTCACTATTTTGTGCAAACAATATTATCCGTTGATTGGAGTGTCCGCTAATTAAGTGTCCGCTTTTTAGAAAGTTTTTTATGAGACTTTAACCAGAAAATGATCGGGAAAAATATTTTTTCCGCTAATCAGATGTGTCCGCCTTTTAGAGTGTCCGTTAATTGGAGAGAATACTGTAGTTCGAAATTAGTTCCAGAAATAATTATTTGAGCTTCCTTCTTTGCCACCGAAGCGGTCTACAATACTTTATCCCCGGTTTATTGAGGCTCTGGTACCCAGAGTATCATATGGCTGGACTGCTAGGTAACAAGGTAAAAGATGGTGCCTCTGCGACGAAAATTTTGACGAAAATACGTCCCCTCTTAGGCCTGCACATTATGACAAACTTCCGGCCTCTTTAAAAACTTTGTGAAAGTAATATCTAATTGCAAAAGGTGTTACACACATGAACAACAAGAGTGTTGGCATCCGAAACAGGACTTGATTTGCACCAGGGAAATCAGAGAACGACAGGTCATTTCCTCTAAAAAATTTTCAAGTCCCTCCTTTAGATGAAAGCATCTACGGAAATTCGTCAAATCTTCCTGTTTCGACCACCGACAAAATCTCTGGAATATGAGTACATTCCTCCTGGTCAGACAGCATTAGGTCTAGCAGAGTCGATTAAAATATCTAAAAATTTAGTCCTAACTTAACCGATATCTAATTTGCATGGGCAGCCCGGCAAAAAAGCTCCTTCTAAGAATGCGTTCAGAGCGACTTGGATCAATAAGTCCTGCTGAGTATTGGTTGCCTCGGCAACCTGCTCCTCCACAGAACTCTCGACTTGTGGCAGAAAGTGATGCAACCAAAGGTCTTCAGCCCAGCTGCAAAGAAAAGGATACCTTATGTCATAATAGCGCAGGGTTTCTATTTTCAAACGAGGAAGGGGAGAAAGAAGACGGAATGCAACTTACCAAATATGACATTAAGGCCGTATTAGACGCAAGGACAAGCAGAGGCGCAGTATTATCTAAGGCGCACAAAACATAGAGCCTATGGACCATAGGAACTTTTGCTTAGGCCTAGGCACTTATGATGACACCTTTTTGCTTTTAGTACATTATATATGTAAATCTTGTCACGATAAAGCGATTTCCCAGCACATTTCTACAGAAAGCACGCGACCAAGCCGCCTTCTTCGAAAGGGAACCAACAACTCCAGAAAGATTGTGAATGTTGTCTTAAGTCTTCATTTCATCAACATCAATAGAATCAACGGATAATATTACGAAAGTATGTGACATGAAACATAAAATCATTACCTTTTAAGGCCGGCTGAATCACTGAAAGGAGCAGACAGAAACAGCCCAAGATCTGCGAAGAAAACAATGACAGTGAGTAATATGCAGGTTTGTTAATCGTGCTTAGATCATGTCTTGACACAAACGACCAATGAACTAACAGAAATTTATGAAACACATTGCAGTCAGATTGGCTTGACTGTCCATAAAATGATGGCTTTGTGTGTAACAATACAAAGTGCTTTTCAAATCGATTCATGTTTGCATCCAAATTACAGAACAATTGAAAATCAACTAGCAAAAATTAAAGAGACTATAAACTAAGTGATCTGATCAGAAGGCACATTCTTACATACTCTCAATTCCTCAAAGCAAGCTGGAAATCGTCGCTTTGGTACCTGCAACTAGTTAGCTTTGAATCTTTTTTGGTATATTTTTCAGTAAAAACCAATATGGCACTGAAGAAACTGAGAAAATTGAGTGTGACTTTATTTGGTTTTGGTGACATTATCAAAACAAGTGTTTTGGGCATTTTATGGCAGCACCAGGTGACATTGAGCATAAGCAGATATACTATGAAACAACTTTTACACAAGTGACAACGAATTACGAAATAAAGATACAAAATTGAATGGTTCGACCTTTGGCATCTACAAAAAATGAACTTCAAATTTTGAAAACAAAATGAACATGATTCACAATAACGACAAACCTGGCATATCCAATTTAATGTCTAGCTTTTCAAGATCGATTCTAGATCTTCTGTAAACATCGCTTATCCAGGAGCTCCAGTTATCAATTTCCCTAAAAATGGATCAAGCAATATTCAGAGATTGTGAACTGGGAAGAACTTAAAACGTTTCTGAAACTGTGAGTGACTTGACAATTAACGTCACATGGGAGTGTGATTGGATTGTAAGAAAGGTATCTAAATTAAGATTGACATTAAAGGTATAAATCTAATTGTTCACATTTCACATTTCATAATTGTGCTACATTTCGCATTAGTCATGTGCCAGGTGAAGAGGGCACTCGGAAGATGGCACAAAAAAGAAAACTGAAAATCTGAAGACTCTGCCGTATTGAAATTATGAAAGCACCTGTTCACACACAATGAAGAGCAGTCCCATAGAAAATTAAACCTTAAATTGGAAAAAGTAGCTTGTAGAAGTGAGAGAGCCAATAACCCGTCTATTAAAAATCTCGCTGCCATAACACTCTTTTAACTGTAAAACCTAAACTACAAAGATATTCACCTGAAGTTTAATCGGCTTTCTGAATTTCGTGTTGCCTTTTGTCGGAGCCAACGTTGCAGAAGAACAGGCATGGTTGGTGGGAGATCAATTAACTTGAAAAATCTATGAATTCCTTGCCCAAATCGGTCCATGCTGGAAAAAAGTGAGCACTTAAAACAAGTAAATATAGAGTATTAAAATCTTGGCTGCAAATGGCTGGAAAAAAAGCCGGAAATAGGCAACAAACACTGATAAAAAATCAATACTGAATAATATAAAGATTGTTGCTTTACAAGTAGTTTTGATACACACAACGTCCCCATAAAATCTGAGTAAATTCAAAGTGTTCATTTTTGAACTGAGACCAAAAAACTCATGCATAGTATGAAAGGGTTGAAATATCCTTGCTTTGGCAAACTAGATCTGAAGCAATCGACTTCAGATGTACAAATCTGAATTCTGTCGATGCCACATCTCTTAGTCGCATGAGCAGGATTAGTCAAAATGATATGTTATTTCAAACTCTGACAGGGAACATGGTGCTAAAGGTTGGATAGAAGTACGATTTAATAAAGGGAATTTTTGTCTCATGGAACTTTTGTCTCCTTTCTAGCTCTCGTGGATAGCGCTCTATCAGCCTTAAAGGTTTGTTAGCAGCTGTAAATATCATCAGCTGTACCGTCTTCAAAATATATGTCCCTTAGTAGCTCAGGCGATCGACCGCGGTAAGGCAATTTTGCTGCAGTTCTGAAGGCTGAAGGTTGGGCTCTATCCTTTATTTAGGGAAGGACTAACAACGACGGGGAAGCTAAAGAAAACGAGAATAGAACAGTATCTGCATTTTGGGGGGGGGGGAGTGATGAATCTGCATTGAAGGAACTGGCCATCCTTTGTCTCCATGCTTTGGCCTAAGGGCACGGCTCGCATACAGGAATCGCCTTTACTTTAAGCAAGACAGTTGATGACAAAAAATAAATGATATTTCCAACAATTAATACCACCTTGACTCTCCAACTAGCAGGGAAAAGCGGAAACCTAACATACTGTTGTTCTATACTGTAAAGGTTATTTACCTTGTCTTTGTTGCATATGCAAGTACGATGACGTCATTTTGCAAATAGTAAAGCTGACTGTTCACTCCAATGCCATTGCTTAGATAGAAGGGTTCTTCTGTTCCACGTTTTCCAAGCCAAACAAAGACATCCGAAGATAATTTTCGATTAAGGATGAAATCAACGTCGATCAGAATAATTGTTGAGCACTTCGGTCTCTCGCGATTCACCTCAACCAAAGCTCCTAAAAAGGGACAACAAACTGCATTGCAATGGACTCGCCTAAGCTCATTGATCACACAATACAACACCGTTTGAAGGTGGAAATGGGGTGCTATGGAGAAACTTTTTCCAAGCACCGTATGTGGCAAAAGGAACAATAGCGTAATTTTCAAGCATTCTTTTAACATTTTACTGAAATGTAATAGGCTAGAATTGGAGTTATTTTTGTTAATTTATCATAATTATTTTTCACAAAGACGCAAAAAGTAAGATTTCCAATGTCCACCAGGAGAGCTACAATTCCAATCACTGGCAAGACAGCCAAATTTAATCCAACCTAACATATCAATCAATTCGAATGCCTTTCCTTGTAAAACACTTTGAGATGTTTCGAAACACATCGATTGATCTAGAATTATTAAACAGCCATACCCGTTATGTATCAGAACAAGAAGACAGTTAAAATGTGCGTCAACATATGGTATGTGACTTTGTATGACGACTTATATAGCAATATATGCTAGGGTACATATTCAGCAGATAACAGAAACATAACATGATTTATATTTTTGTGAAAACAAATTATATATTTATAAATGAAATCTATGAAAGTAATTATGATTTCTAGTACGTCCTTTCATAGGTTATCGGCAAATAGCATTTTTTTGAGAAATGGTTGATTCGTTCGAAAAAAATAGACTCTTCCACTGCTGTTTGAATTTATACATGCGAACAAGAATCACTCGAATAAATGTGCTCCAAAAACGCTTAGCCAAATCAAATGCTTCCAATCAACTACTATGCCCGTCTACGTAATACAAATCAGAAATCTGCCTTCAGAAAGAAATTATTACCTTTCCTTTTCAAAAACCCTCGCGCATATAAACAACTCTCACATGAAATTTTCCAAGGTCCTCTTGGACTCTGCGCAGGGGCCCGGAAAGTATGGCAAAAATCAGGCATGGGAAATGCATTGGATTGAAATGAAACTATATTTAGTTCTAGTAAAAACCTATCAATGGGACATATAAGGGGTGCATAATAAAACACAAATTTACGGAGATACCAACCATATTCTCGTAACAGTTTCACAAGTTCCTGAGCAGTGCAAATCACATTCTCTTCAACGCTTGCAATAAAACTTGTCTTGCCTCTAATTTCGTCCATGGTCTGATTGAAAAATAAATTTCATCCTTGCAAGTTACATGCAATACTGGATATACATATAAAAATACAGCTCATAATAAAATGGGATTCTCAGCTAATTGTGAGCATTTAATCAAGCATATAGCTCAATATAAATAGATCAAATTAATGAACATGCCCTTTCGTGCAGAGTTCTTATCGAATTCTGAGAAAATCTCAAATGACATGATCTGTAACAAACGCTTTAAAACCCCTTCCACTTAGACGCTTCCTTGAAAACGGAAAACATTTGTTTCGTTTCCATTTAGATATAAAAGCGAACTTTGCAAACGTACTCTAGTGTCTCTAATAGAAGGGGAGTTTTCAATAGAAGTGGGGTGCTAATAGTAAGGGGTGTTCATGTCGGCCAGTTTTCAATAGAAAGGGGTTGCTAATAGAAGGGGGTGTTCATGTCGAACAATTTTCAATAGAAAAGGGGTGCTAATAGAAAGGGGTGTTCATGTCGGCCAGTTTTCAATAGAAGAGAGTTGCTAATAGAAGGGGATGTTCAGGTTGGCTAATTTTCAATAAAATGTCAGTAAACTTCAATGCCAAAGGGGAGCTAATAAAAGGAGTGGATGTTGGTAAATCTTTTAATTAAAAGGCAGTGGAATTATTAGGATGGTGACACTGGTTACTTGATAATGGATAGATTGTTAGAGATAAAGATAGACAAACAGAACAAGAAGAATTATTGACAAGTGAAAATTGCGTGTCCTGGTCATGACAGGTTTGTAAAATTTAATAGAAGGGCGGGTGCTAATAAGCGACAGAGCGGAGGGCAAATTCTTCTGAAGTCAATACAAGGGGGCCCTTCTATTAGAGACACTAGAGTATTTGTGAAGACGCTGCTACGTAATGGTAAGGGATATATCACGGAGATTAGGTTTACTGAGCAAGGTGTTCTTATAATCCAAGAGTCAATTATACAAAAATATACACATCTTACTGCGCAAAAGGAATCGTAATGTAATATGATACTACGTAATATTACTTACGCTGAAAATTTCAGATTTGGGAAATGAATAAGAAACAAAATTTCATTACGTTTGGTGAATTTGGTGAAAACAAATTTTCTATCACGGTGAGCTTATTTTTAAGCAAGTTTTCATATGGAAAATATCCAAACAAAATAATTTTTTATTCTATACAGGGGAACAAACAACAGACATGAAAAGTAGAAAATTCATCATTAATCAAATTAATGCAACTTGTTATATTGAGACATCCAAAGAATAATATGCACTTAGAAAATCTTCTAAATCATTGAAAGTAAAGTTAATGTAGCCCCCGTCTAGGGAAAACGACTTTCTAAGCAACATACATTAACTGCTATCTTACCGGTTGATATCATACGTAGGATACTGTAGACAACATACCTTGAGCCAATGGGAGAAGCAGGAAATGAAATGCTTAGCCTCTATCGTGTCGTCAGTCATGAACAGCACATTTCTGTACCGCTTAATCTGAAAATGGAAATCATATATGTTATGTGGAAATAAAATCATTACTGTCATCAACAGTGGGTGTATTTTCAAATAAGTTAAAAACTTCAAGCTATCACAAAAATTCAAGCTATAAGAATAGCTCACCAATCTGCAATATTCTTGTAACGAAGTATTTTCTAAAGACGTAGAGTATGCCACTGAATCAAATGTTGAAGTTGTTTCATCTAAAAAGCAATGATTAAAAAGTGTTGTCACCGTTAGGACAAAAGCTCTAGGACAATGAAAATTGCAAACGATTAATCAATTTGTCGTTACGAAAATCAAACTAGATACCTCTAATCAGAGATAAACAATTATTGAGAATATTGTTAAGAATATATATAAACTTTATCAAATAAAGAAAACCAAAAAAGAGCATTTTTCGTGCAGTTATCAACTACAACGTAAAAGTACTTCAATAAAAAATCCTTTTATGTTTGACCATAACTTAAAAGCAGAAATTTAGGTGCATCTTTAGTCTAAAAAGAAAGGAAAGAGGATAGATTGACCAAGCTCTCAAAATAAGTTGAAATATGTTTAGGGATAACTCATATTCAATCTTAAAACAAGTGGTGCTCTCTCCTCGATTAGCCCAACTACTCAGAGAGTCCCTCCTCAAGGAATTCCCCTTCATACAATTTGATATGTAGGCTATTATTTCTCTGTTGTTTTTAGATTTGTGCTTAATTTGTATTGTGTGTAGTATTGTATTAATGTAACTGATAAATTGTATGTAGTTGAATTTTTAAAATAGGAGACGGAAACTAAAAAATAAGAGTTGTCCTGAAAAGCAAGTTCCAAACTTTTTTAATGTCTTCCTAATCATGTATTAACATTTTCAATGATACAGATCTAACCAGCCGGAGGTTTTAGCATATTTCTTTTAACTGTCCTTTCTGAATGTTGATGACACCGTATCAAAAAAGGTAATGAATTTGAAAATGTAAGGAAACGTAAGTTGAACTTTTTTTGGTATTCCAATTGCATACTCATTTGATGAATTACGTAGTCACTCTAACACTGGGATTTTTCTTCTAATAAAATCAGTACCATATCAATTTGTGGTTGACGTCAGTAAAAACTGGCGATGGACAAGAACAAATCTGGGGGATTTCTTCACTTTTAATATAAATTAGGAAGAACTTCTGGAACTAATTCGATGATTTCAGCCAATGAATTGTTTGATTTGATTTGACGGATTGAGGCTCCCTACAAGGACCGAAACTCGTGAACGTTTTCTAAAGCGAGTTGAGACTCTTGGAGGGGAAAAGAGGTTAACATGTTGCAACAGTACCTTTGAGACGAATGGTCAGGTAAGGTTTCGATCTATCTTGCCATGCTGCTGTCCAAGGCGTGATACCTGCAGGAAACCCTGTAGGCGTCCAGGCAACAGATCCTAGCTCAAATCGACTGACGCTTGACTGGAAAATCGCTGTAAAACGGAGAAAGGCTAAGAAACTGGCAAAACACATCGCAAGTTTCAAGGGAAACGCTAATGTTTATACAACTGCAAACTTTTAACGCCTGAAATTACGGCATAATTAATTTGGCATAAACATTGATATGGTCATAATCTACCGGGAATAAAATTGTCACCATCGTGAAGCTAACTGAGCTTTGATAAGCATTGCAACACCAAGTGCTGTATTTTTACTAAACACCACTGTGGATTTTATAAAAAAAGTCAAACGATCACATGTGAGCCTATTTGCAAAGAAAATCAATTCGGAAGTGACGTACCAGCATTACTCGTGCTCAGACCTCTAGACGTTCTCCAAGGAACCTTATCCAAGAAAAATTTTTTCACGGCCTCTGTAACTGAGATCCATTCACTTTCGTTTTGTAGCCGCAATTCACCAATGAAGTCTAGAATACTATCAGACATCACCAAACCATCTGCTAAAATACAAAATACAGAAAAAAATATTACCAACTTGACAGATAAGACATGCAGCGAAGTTAGAGAAGTTTAACCACCTCTAGTTAGTAAAAGCAAACAAAGAAATCAATTCAAGCGTCCCACTTGAACTTGAAAAACATGAAGCATAACAAAGACAAATCTGACATTGTCCAAAAAATCAAGCAAGAATTTTAATAAAATCCCTTGAAGATTTCCCTTGACAGTATTACACAGTCACTACATGACAAACTAAAGCAAATAAAGAATAATGTTTTATTTTGCATTCAGGCTTGTGGACGTTAATTTCCAAAATAATTTAAAAAATCATAAAGGATCCTTTGCATAACAAGTGTTATTCAAAGCCAGCCAACTATTGCTTAGGATATGCAGCTATCTAGCAAAAGAATTTATTGCTGCACCTATAACAGACTCTCACAAATGTTTAAAGTACTTTCAAAGGTCACTAGCATACCATCAGAAAAGCCCCAGCCATAACCTGCGGCAACTGCGATGAGTAGAGTGCAGGAATCTAGAATTAAAAGCATCAAGTCAAAGTTTATAGAAAAATGGAAACAATACTTCAGTTCAGATTCTTGCAAATAATTAAGTTTTGTTTACCGATGTATGCTAAAGGCAACATACAGGTTTGATGTCGCAGAAATTTACACTAGTGGCCAGGTACCGCGTAAAGGCGTTCTTTAAAAGTCTCTGAAAACATTAGATGTCTCTGTAATTTTGACATTTTCGACATTATGAGGTCATTAGTAATTTTTTTTGTTTGAGTGTCGTAATGAACCGACCGGCAAGGAGAAAGATAAGTAAATTCTGATTCAGTGCCTATCGCGCGCAGTTGTTGTTAAGGCTATGTACATACAACCATAGAATTTTATCACCAAAATTTAAAAAAAAAATTTAACTCGCATCATTTGTTAAAAATTAATTATATATATATGAAATAATGAATTAGAAAATCTCTTTTGTCCACAGTGTGCATCATTCAAACAAAATGTATACAAATACAGTAAATCCTGATAACACAAACCCCTGAAAACTTGAACATTCATTAACTCGAACCATTTTTATTGTTTCTTTGGAGGTCAGAGTTATAGAGATTACTGTATAGCAAATGTTTTTGATGGAAACCTTGCCTACACTTATCACAATCTCAAAGCATACTCGTCACCCAGTTACGCGACAAAGTGCCTTCAGGACCTAAGACTAGAAGGTTAAGACTTAAAAAACAGACTGACATATGACAGCAGATGCTAACAAGAGCAATATTTTCAATTCTATCACCATAACATTTGAGCTAAACAACCTCTTGTTTCTAAATAAACAAAACAAAATTTCCTTTATAAATACTAGGAAAATAAAACTAAGTTAAATACCATATATGGTTTCTCCACCCACCCACAAAACAACGATGTTTGCCTTTGCAATTATCATCGGAAAGGTTATATCAGAACAGACACCTCCCTGTTGAGAGTTGCTGATACTAGGAGCAGAGGCGTGTTAAGGGCATTGGAGGTTCCCTACCCTTTATGTAGAGAAGAATCATGTTTTGTCGTGTACCTTGTTCTGTTGAGACTTGGGGATATCCCCCTTTTGTCACTACCATAAGATAAGCATTCGTAATATGAATAGTTCAGGTGTGCATGTTTAATTTCACTTTAGGACAAATAATCCTGTCATCATAAGAGGCGGGAGTGCACTTTTAAATACACCAATATGGGAACAACCAATAACAAAGTTTGTTAATGTCTAATGTCTACCACTTTTCACCCCACGTACGACTTGTTGTCTTGCGTTTCCTTGGATAGCTCTTTGCTTTCTGAAAGAACACAAAATAGAGCGAAAAAGACCCTATCTCGCTTGATTATTTAATTTTGTTCTCTTGGCTGACAAAAGACAGTAGTTGAGTAACATATGAAAAGTTATTAGAATGCTACGCATTGCCCGCAACGCAGCAGCAAGAGATATCGAATTCTCTTCATTAAAAGATAACGTTCTGTTCAAATATGAGCAAGCAGCTCTTTTGAAAAGCAAAAACAGAAGACAAGTCGAGGAGTAATATATCATGGCAAAATATGGTGCCCCTCCCCCAAAACGAAAACACCGTTAAGTTCATGCTTCATAGCCCGTTCCGCATAAAACTGCTTTCTAGCAAGCCCTCAATGTTTGGATGAACCCATTTTGGAAAAAGACTTAAATGCTAGTCCCCATCTATAACGCAAATATCTTAGCGATAATTACTGCCCAACAACGAAGAAATAATTTGTTATTTGCTAAAACGTCCTTGTAAGTATAACATATCACGAGGTCGTGCCATCGTGAATACTTCGATTTGTTGTTTCACATATATACTACAATTATATACAATTATATTCTTGGCCTAATTGGAAGTTATGCTTGAACCGTAACATAAATTATTCCCAGCGTCATGAGATAAACCTTGGGTCAACCCATTAATGCATGCCAACCCATTTAGGAAAATAAGGACTTTGTGATTTTTGAAAAAAGTCATGACCCCGGACCTGCAAAAAAGTTGAAAAATCTTGAAATTTTTCAAAAAATTTTTTTTACTCGAAACAACCATAAAAGCGGCAAGATACATTCTGAACGCCATTTCAGGCCCTTTCTGTGAATTTATGCTGATTTTTTGAAAATAAGGAGTTGGTGATTTTTGAAAAAATTCATGACCCCGGACCTGCAAAAAAGTTGAAAAATCTTAAAATTTTTGCAAAAAATTTTTTTTACTCGAAACAACCTAAAAAGCCTCAAAATACGTTCTGAACGCCATTTCGGGTCGTTTTGGTGAAATTAATGCTGATTTTTTGAAAATAAGGAGTTGGTGATTTTTGAAAAAATTCATGACCCCGGACCTGCAAAAAAGTTGAAAAATCTTGAAATTTTTGCAAAAAATTTCTTTTACTCGAAACAACCTAAAAAGCCTCAGGATACGTTCTGAACGCCATTTCGGGTCGTTTTGGTGAAATTTATGCTGATTTTAGGAAAATAAAGAATGGGTGATTTTTGTAAAAATTGATGACCCCGGACCTGCAAAAAAGTTGAAAAATCTTGAAATTTTTCAAAAATTTTTTTTACTCGAAACAATCTAAAAAGCCTCAAGATACGTTCCGAACGCCATTTCGGGTCGTTTCGGTGAAATTTATGCTGATTTTTTGAGAAAAAGGACTTTTTGATTTTTGAAAAAAGTCATGACCCCGGACCTGCAAAAGAGTTGAAAAGTCTTGAAATTTTTCAAAAAATTTTTTTTACTCGAAACAACCTAAAAAGCTGCAAGATACGTTCTGAACGCCATTTCGGGTCTTTTCGGTGAAATTTATGCTGATTTTAGGAAAATAAGGAGTTGGTGATTATTGAAAAAATTCATGACCCCGGACCTGCAAAAAAGTTGAAAAATCTTGAAATTTTTGCAAAAAAATTTTTTTACTCGAAACAACCTAAAAAGCCTCAAGATACGTTCTGAACGCCATTTCGGGTCGTTTTGGTGAAATTTATGCTGATTTTAGGAAAATAAGTAATGGGTGATTTTTGAAAAAATTGATGACCCCAGACCTGCAAAAAAGTTGAAAAATCTTGAAATTTTTCAAAAATTTTTTTTTACTCGAAACAGCCTAAAAAGTCTCAAGATACGTTCTGAACGCCATTTCGGATCTTTTCGGTGAAATTTACGCTGATTTTAGGAAAAAAAATAATGGGTGATTATTGAAAAAATTCATGACCCGGGACCTGCAAAAAAGTTGAAAAATCTTGAAATTTTTAAAAAAAATTTTTTTACTCGAAACAACCTAAAAAGCCTCAAGATACGTTCTGAACGCCATTTCGGGTCGTTTTGGTGAAATTTATGCTGATTTTTTGAAAATAAGGAGTTGGTGATTTTTGAAAAAATTCATGACCCCGGATCTGCAAAAAAGTTGAAAAATCTTGAAATTTTTGCAAAAAAATTTTTTTACTCGAAACAACCTAAAAAGCCTCAACATACGTTCTGAACGCCATTTCGGATCTCTTCGGTGAAATTTACGCTGATTTTAGGAAAAAAAGAAATGAGTGATTTTTGAAAAAATTCATGACCCTGGACCTGCAAAAAAGTTGAAAAATCTTGAAATTTTTGAAAAAATTTTTTTTACTCAAAACAACCTAAAAAGCCTCAAGATACGTTCTGAACGCCATTTCGGGTCGTTTTGGTGAAATTTATGCTGATTTTTTGAAAATAAGGAGTTGGTGATTTTTGAAAAAATTCATGACCCCGGATCTGCAAAAAAGTTGAAAAATCTTGAAATTTTTGCAAAAAATTTTTTTTACTCGAAACAACCTAAAAAGCCTCAACATACGTTCTGAACGCCATTTCCGATCTTTTCGGTGAAATTTACGCTGATTTTAGGAAAAAAAGGAATGGGTGATTTTTGAAAAAATTCATGACCCCGGACCTGCAAAAAAGTTGAAAAATCTTGAAATTTTTCAAAAAATTTTTTTTACTCAAAACAACCTAAAAAGCCTCAAGATACATTCTGAACGCCATTTCGGGTCGTTTTGGTGAAATTTATGCTGATTTTTTGAAAATAAGGAGTTTGTGATTTTTGAAAAAATTCATGACCCCGGACCTGCAAAAAAGTTGAAAAATCTTGCAATTTTTAAAAAATTTTTTTTACTTGAAACAACCTAAAAAGCCGCAAGAAACGTTCTAAACGCCATTTCGTGTTGTTTTGGTGAAATTTATGCTGATTTTTCGAAAATAAGGAGTTGGTGATTTTTGAAAAAATTCATGACCCCGGACCTGCAAAAAAGT